GTGGGTAAGGACCTCACTTCTTCAGATGCAAGTGAAAGCTTATGCTCCCAGTACTTCTGTTAGTCTCAAAGGTGCCACAGGACCCTCTGTTGCTTTTTACAGATTCAGGCTAACACGGCTACCCCTCTGATACATAAATTGTCACTGGCTTATATAAGCCACTTAAACTGTGTCAATTTTGATTTTCATGCTGTGGCATCTGGTGAAATTTCAGATCCTGCATATGAGATCTCTGTATGAGAGATGACAAGAATGTACCTTGTGAGCATGATTCCCCCACTCCTTTGAACCTTGTGTCATCACTTACACCTGTGCAAACAATGTGTGCATCACTTACACCTGTGCAAAATGGATGTAAAACATTTCAGTGGGTATGAGTAAGTTCTGAATCGGTAGCATTTTACATCCATTTTGCACAGGCGTTCGTGACTGTAAAGGTGCAAAGTTGGGAAGCAGTCAGACCCTGAAACTCAGTATACAGTCCAGAAACAAATCTTTATAACCTATGTGGTGCAGACGGCTCTGGAGTAATATTTTTCAAGCTGGCTTGTGGCTATTTCCATAGTCTGTGGGGACCTTTCTGGTAGTTTAGAGTGAAATGTTCTGAGACTGAAGCAATGGGATGTCAAAAGAGGTGGGTCTGTGAGAGGATTTCTTTGTTATGAAGTGCTCTGCAGAGTGAAAAGTCTGGGAAATCTACGTATCTCTAGGTGGCTTCCCTGAGCAATGACTTACAAGGTCAGAACCACCCTGAAAGGATTTGTCTACATTGTATCCTGATGTTGGATGAGGATGTTATAAAGAGCTACCTACCTGGGGAGTACTTAGATTGCGCTGTTGCACCTGTGAAGCAGAGAGGTGAAGAAAAATTATCATTGAAGTTGAGCTCTTGTAATTCTGAATTGTTGTCAACACCAACGTGCATTTATCTTACCTCCATTTTACTCCACTCCACTGTGTCAGTATAAAGGCTACGTATATTTGAGGAAAGCCATTATCCTTGTTAATAAATTTAATTTGTCATGAACTGACTAAAAGAATCCCTCTGGACTAGCTTTGTTTACACTGGAAATTTTCAAAAAAATTCCCACTGTTGCTAAGATTGGTTCAGCCACATCTGTATTAGCAACATTGGGGGCTTGTCTACATATAGATTGCACTGGTTTAATTTAAGAGAATTCAAAAACAGATTAAACTGGTGCAAGGGCCTGCAATGGTTTAAAACTGGCTATATCAATTTAGTTTGCTCCTATAAACGTACTGGTGCAAGGTAAACGGTTCTAAGCCAGGATTAAATTGATATGAGTGTCCATACACAAAGTTACACTATTTTAACTAAACGGATTTAAAAATCACGCTTTAGAGAGAGAATTAACACAAATGAAGATGGCAAAATGTTCTGTTTACCGTCTGCAACAAATGTTTCATCATCCGGATGATGGGAAATGCCTGGGAAGATAGAAAAAGGGAAATGACCATTTATAACCTTTGAAGAGTTATTTGATGCCTCAGGTTTGGGTTTTTTTTCTTCAGATTTTGACCAGCAGTATTTAGGCCTGAAAATACCACTGCCAAATATCTGTAACACACAAGTTACATCTTGGGAAGTTCATTTCTGGTGTATTGCTTTTTTCCCCCCAGTGGATGAGCTGGAGTTTTCTGGATGATACTTACACCATGATTCACTTTGAATAATTAGCGGCTTGATTCTGAACGCTAGGACACAGTCCTTAGGGATAATTATGACACGCTTGCTGCCTCTGGTGCCCTGGTTCATGGAAAGAGGAGTTAGCGAGCTCACACAGCACAGAGATGTGCTAAAAAGAGGGGGCTATTCTCCCCTCCACACACACATTTCCTGAATCTAGATAGAAATGGAACCTTTAATGAAAAATGGACACAGATGTCATTCAGAATGTTGCCTTCCATGGTGTTGGCCTTGTATAATGTGCTCTCCTCCAAAGTCTGTACAGCCTCGTTGATCACATACAAGTTCTCTCTGCGCTTCCGTAAATCCTTAATGATGGAATGGTCCATGTTGATTTTCCTAAAAAAAAACAAAAAAAGTGGACTCTGCATCACTACTGAGTTTCTTTCTGTAGGTTAATGTAGAGTCTTGATACCGGCTCCCCTTATTCTTGGATTTGCCACTCTGGGGGCAGAAATCAAGAGGAAAGCTGGCTTAAGTGTCCACCAGGGAATTCCTCTGATCTAAGCAGAATCCCTGAGTTGCACAGAGCCATGGAAGCCTCTAGTCCATCTCCTTTCATAGTACTGGTGAGAGGTGCAGCCAGGGGAAATGAGATGTGGCCCTGTTAGAGCTAGTCTCAGCAGCTGACACGGGCCCATGGGTAGCTACAGTAACTCCTCACTTAACGTTGTAGTTCTGTTCCTGAAAAATGCGACTTCAAGCGAAACAGTGTTAAGGGAATCTTATTTCCCCATAGGAATTAATGTAAATGAGGGGGTTAGGTTCCAGGGAAATTTTTTTCACCAGACAAAAGAACACACACACACGTTTTAAACAAACAATTTAATACTAGTACACAGTGGTGATTGTGAAGCTCGGTTAAGATGGAGGAGTCAGAGGGTGGGATATTTCCCTTACTGCTAAATGATGAACTAGCAATTGGCTGAGCCCTCAAAGGTTAACTCTCTCACTCTGCAAAGCAGCAGGAATGGAGGGAGATATGTGCATTTCCGTTAAGTACACTGCCTTGTTAATTAGATCAGCATGCTGAGACGGCAGCCCTGGTGTGTCCCCCCTGCTCTATGGAAGATGGGGTAAGCAGGGGTGCAGGGGGGAGTGGGACACCCTGACATTAGCTCCCCTCTTCCTTCCCTCCCGGCACAGCAAGCAGGAGTCTCCGGGAGCAGCTCCAAGGGAGAGGGCAGGAGCAGCACGTGGCAGTGGGGGGAGGGACACAGCTGAACTGCAGGCAGCTGCTACACAGGGAATTTAGGGGAGTGGGGAGCTGATGGGGGGCTGCCGGTCCACCCGGGTTCCAAGCCCCCACCAGCTAGCTGCAAGGGGCTGCTCTTCCTGCAAGCAGTAGACAAAGCAGGCAGCTGCCAAACAAAGTTAGAAGGGAGCATTACACAACTTTAAACGAGCATGTTCCCTAATTGATCAGCAACATAACAACATTAACCAGGGTGACTTTAAGTGAGTTACTGTACTGCATAAGTTAGAGATTTCCTTCCTTCTCCCCATTTCTGCCAGCCTCACCTTTCTCCTTGTAGAAACTCGAGATCTGCTGGGCTGACCTCTGCTCTTTTCACCTTGATGGACTTCACTTGGTAGCTGCCAGCATCTAGCGTCAATTCCGTACTCACAAAGTCTTCAGGCAGCTTAATAGTCCACTTTACTCTGCCATCAGTGCAGTCCTCAACAGTGAATGAGTGTGAATCCTGGATATCTGTGGGGAGGGGGGAGAGAGAAACCCTGCAAGAGTTAACACATTCTCTTTGTACCATTAATACGTAATTATGGCCCATAGCGCCTGTGCACACAGGAAGGATGTGGCCTGACAGAGCTCAGACACAAGCTGCATAATTCCCTGGCCAGTCACTAAAAGAAAACAGCCGCTCAAGCCCAGGATGCTGCAGGCAGTGTTGCCACACTGGACGGGTAAATAACGTGGGAAGACTGGCATTACCTAGATTTCTGCTGTCCTGTCCAGGTACCAGAATGGCACTGAGCTGAACTCCTGTTTTGTAGTAGCAGTGACGAGTCATCCAGAATACCTTTTTTGGTTTCTTTCGAACGAGGTATAGGGGTCTGAAGTGATCTTGGTCAATAAGGCTGGTAACTGGGAGCAGATCTCCATCTGGAGCCACCTGCTTTACCAGGTCTTTGGTTGCCTTGTGAAACATCCTGTCTGCAGCCTGATGTACCTTGAACTGAAGCAAAATGTACTTTTACCTTAGGAGGCAGAGACAAGTGAAATAAACACATTTGAAATCTGAACTGGAGGTTGCAGCAAGGTATTTTGCTCTTTGACAGCAAGTTTTACCTGCTCAGAGCTCTTAAAAACAAGCAAAAAACCTAAGGCCATGTTGACCAACATTGTTGATCTAGCTTACGCTAGCATACAGCCACTGTCATTATTATATCACTTGTGTGAGTGCACACTGGGGTCGTTGTGTCAGCAGTGTGTGTCCTCAACAGCAGTGCTTGTATTGATTGCATTGTCAGGGGAAGCATTGTGAGACTGCTCCTGGAGGCCAGTAACAATCGATGTAAGCAGCACGGCGTCTACGCTGACACTGCGTTGACCTAATTACATTGACTGTGACTCTACACTGCTTGGCAAGGTGGTGTTACTAAATTGGCGTAGCGACGCACTTACAGTGGTGGGAGCCAAATTTAAGTGAAGACGTTGCCACAGCTAGGTCGACACAAGGCCGTGTAGACCAGGCCTGAGCTCCACAAACGGCCTCTGAGGTGGGCTGCTGCTGTTACACCCAATTGGAGAGAGAGACATGATTTGCCCAAGATCAGATACAGTGAGTCAGTTCAAGAATTGTGAACAGGACCTAGATCTCCTAAAGTAGGTTTGTTTAATCGTATCCTGTCACACGGTATGCTTTCTGATCATGGGCGGGGAGTGGAGCCCCCCTTAGGGGAGGTTAGCCCCTGACTGTGCCCCCCCAGGAACCCTCCCTACAGCCAGAGCCCTGAGACCCCCTCCCCTGCAGCTGGAGCCACAATTCCCCGAACCCCCCGCCCCACCTGCTCAGAGGAGCCCCAGCCACACCTCCCATCTCCAGGCCCCAAGCCTCTCATTCTTGTCCGAAGACACTTTTGATATGCCCCATGCAGGTTCTGGGGTGGCTGAGGAGGGGTATTTGCTACTCAGCTTCCTGGATTCGTCAGTAATCTCTCTCAAATCCAGGGAGATTGCTGATGAACCCAGGAAACTGAATAGCATATATCGCCTCCTCAACCGCCCCGGAACCTTCATGGGGCATAATAAATCAAAAACTTCCTCCAAAACCCCGCAACCGGGGATCTGGCGGCACCAACAGTGCCAGCCCTGGCCTATTATACCCGCTGCCCATGTTTTTGATCATGTACATTGTTTAGGGTCAGAGAATGAAATTAGTTTCTAAAGGAATTTGATCATTACTCCCCCATGATGGGTGAACAATACAAATGAAATTTCTTGAATGATCTCAGATTAGTTGAAGAGGATTCCAGACAATGTTGTCCTCTCCCAGTGCTGGGACGCTAGTAGACCACTATACCTTATCTTTAAAACCAGTTGTCACCAGCAGGCATTCAGATTGAACCATCAACGTCCATATTTCACAAAATATAGAGCTAGAGAAATTTCTTGCTGCAAAGAGCTTATTATCTAAGGAGGGCAATAACGAGCTATTATGCAGGTACTTTTCATCAGTAGATCCAAGAACACAAAGGCAGGTTGCTGTCACTGGCATTTCACAGAGGGAAACTGAAGCACCGAGTAGAAATAACTTGCCCAAGGTCACAGAGTGAGTCAGTGGCAGAGCTGGGAATAGACCCTGGAAGCTTTCACTAGTAAAAGCAAATAACATTTTTTAAATGTTTAAGAAGCTTCATTTAAAATTAAATTAAAATGCAGAGCCCCCCGGACTGGTGGCCAGAACCCGGGCAGGGTGAGTGCCACTGAAAATCTGCTCATGTGCCCCCTTTGGCATGCATGCCATAGGTTGCTACCCCTGCACTAGACTCAGAAAGGCAGAGCAGTCAAAGATGTGGGTCAACAAAGACGGATTAATGGATGCTGCATATAATAATATGTATGAGTAGGGTCCACAATGTAATTAACAGTCCCTGTCTGTGCTGTATTCTGATCATTCAGAGGTCAAAAGAACATCCTAGCGTTTAAATGAATTGTAAACACGGGATACCTCGGTATTCATCTCTCTTTGAAATGTACCGTGAATGGTGGAGGAAAAAAGCAAATGGCCTTATGTTAATTCCTATAACTAAGTCCTCGTGATGGACCTCCTTCAAGGTCATCCTAATGACCGTTTTTTCTTGAGGAAATCCCAACTTGTCAAAGAGGACATTAAATTGTATAAAATATCAGATCTGCTTAGACTTCATCAGGGGAAGTTTGAGTCACAAGACTGAGGTCCCAGTTATGCTGGTACGCCCTGAATATGAGATTTGGACATTGGACTATGACCTGAACTCTAAAGGAACTCTTTGCAACTACAAAGCTCACCCTCTCTGCTGTGAATCTGAACCTCAATTAATTGAACTTCTGTCTGCATGTGTATAGATCTTTTAACCATGCTCTTTTTTGTGTTTTAATAAATTTTAGTTTAGTTAATAAGAATTGGCTGTAGCGGGTAAGATCTGAAACATTCATTAACCTGGGAGGTAATGTGTCCGATCCTTTGGGATTGGTAGAACCTTTTCTTTTATATGATGAAATAAGATTTACAGAAGTTTTCATCATATTTGACGTGGGTACCTGATGGAGGCCTGAGGCTGGATCACTTGAAGGGAACTGTGTTGTTTGGACTTCTTAGTAACCAGTAAGGTCATAAAGAAGCTGTTTTATGCTGGCTTGGTAAATCTAAGTATTGGAATATCCACCAGCTTTTGGGGGTTTGGCTGCCCCATTCTTTGCAGTTCACCCTAATTGAGTGACGGTAGCTGGTTTCTCACTCGGACCCCAGTCACAGTGGCGTAGTCGTGCGTGGATACACATTACCACAGGCTAATTGGGTTTTTGGATCAGAACCGCCTGCGTGTCAAAATTTAATTTTGATATTGGAGAGTTTAAGGGTTAAAAATCAGTTAGTGAGTGACCCATGATCAAGATCCTGATTGAAAAAGCCTGGAAGAATTGTGCTCACAGAGAGGGTTGTATTTTAAGCAAAAGGCCCCAGAGCAGGAACTGAAAAATCTGTTAATTGCCAGTGATAAGGAAGCAGACTCAGCGAAAATGCTCGCAGTGCAAAGCCAGCAGCTAGAACTTGAACAAAAGCAAACAATAGCTGATAAGGAAGGAGAAGTTGCAGAAGGAGAATACCTGGGTTTTGAACAGGAACAAAAAATGGCAGATATTCAATTGTAGGAACTAGAAGCTAAGGCAAAAGTGGACAGACTTAAGCTCCTACTCAAGAGAATAAATGAACATCCTGAATAACTGTGTCATCCTGAAAAAACTCCTCTAGACAGCAAAGCTGGGGATAGAATCTATCCAGTTTGTAACAGTGTTGGTATGTTTGACTCTAAGCCGTTGTGTGTGTAACTAAGTTTACCCCAACACGGCCACCTTTTATGTAAATGCTTTTATAGATTAGATTAATGGAGATATCCTATCTCCTAGAACTGGAAGGGACCTTGAAAGGTCATCGAGTCCAGCCCCCTGCCTTCACTAGCAGGACCAAGTACCGATTTTGCCCCAGATCCCTATGTAGCCCCCTCAAGGACTGAACTCACAACCCTGGGTTTAGCAGGCCAGTGCTCAAACCACTTTTACTGTGAGCTTGGGTGAAGGTAACCCCGTAACTTGCGCAGAGAATGTAAAAGTCAATGGGAAAAGCTGTTTAGGGCAAATTATAGCTTCTAACATCACTCTTGTGAAAGTGGATCTTGTCAGAGTGAATATTGTAATCCTCTGAGTTTACTGTAAGTGTGCCTTTAGCCTGACTCCATCTTGAATGGAATGGTGTTAAATGTGAAGTTATAGCTGGGGTAAGAAAGTTATTGCCTAAGGATATTTTGATTGGGGATGATATTAAAGCTTTGTTCAGTCAAGCTGATGACATAAACCAGTCACAGGAAAGAAATAATCCTGAACCTGTGTCTACTAGGGGCAAGGATTTGCCTATGGAGGGTTTCTCCAAATGTTTGGATGAGGAAGGTAACTGTTTATCTGTGCAAAGAAGCAGTGCATATGTGGAAGAAATTCCTGAGTGCGTGTCTGGTATCTCAGAAAGTTGTGGTATGTTCTATGGTGACTCAGGACAAAGTATAATATGATTAGTGATTTACAAAACTAAACCTGCCCAGACAGAAGAAAGTTACGTGCTTTTTCTCTGTGCCCAGTGAAATTTCCCCTCACAGCTAGGATTCAGCTCCTATGGAGAAGGAAGGAAGGGTTGCTCCTCCCCACCTTTATACTTCAGGTTAATACTGTCCACCCCTCCTGGAAAAAAAATCACTGTTCTTTTCTTCCAGTGTTACACATAACTTGCTTTACTCATAGCCCGTAAGTGGTGGTTCTTTTAAAAACCCAACACTCCAGTAGCATGGCTTTGTTTAAAGAGCAGAAAGGCACTGATTAGAAATCAGAGCAGGAACCGGGCACAGGGTCTTTTTTTGTTTGTTTTTGCACTCCAGTGGAAAAAGGAATAGCCCTCCCCCATCAGTATTACCCTAAGCTTGCATCATTATTACAGTCTCTTGATTAAACACTTACCACGCTGTCTGAAGACTGGAAGAAAGGAGGGTCTCAGAAGTAGTTAACAGGCAGCCTGTGTGCCTGCGCCTCTCTTACTGTAAACTCACTCCCACAGCAACATACCGACACCTTGTGTGTTTCTTGTCCTTCAATGGTGTCTCATCTTAGAAACAAACTTGGCAGAACTGTTTGGTAGTGCTGCAATCGGCTATGTTTCGTCATCTCAGCATGGCCTCATATAGTTTCATTTTTTCAGCAGTTGAAATAAAAATCCCCCGCTTCCTCTCTACTTCCTGTGATGTATGGGAAGTGTGTGCTTGTTTCTAGTTCTGCCTCCAAGCAGCTTCTCGTTGTTTTTTTCCATCTCAGCATTTTGGCAAACTTTCTGTACTTGCAGCAAACTCCTGTTTGGCATTGCTCGTCCTATGTCAGGCCCAGAGGCTGTACAGTGGACTTGGACAAAGTGCCGCCTTGAGTTCTACAATGCCACTTTAAGGTGTCATCTACAGCAACTCCAGGCCCCAGCAGCATGCACTGCTCAGTATGGAGCCTTGGGGGAGAAGCAAATGGGCAGAAGTGGAGTTGTGGATTGCATGTTTTAAACCCCATCAGTTACATATACAAAATTATGTGTTTACTTTTGGAGGGACATGATAGAAGACAAGAACCTAGACAGAGTGACTCTTTAAACGGGCAAAAGCTGGACCCCCAACCTCAAATGGCAGAGGCGCTGTGAAGGGCGTTTACTTGTGAAAACCAAGCTCAGGAACCAGTGTGCACACTTATGATACTCCTCTCCGCATTCTCCATGATCAGGCTCTTAGACGCTGAACTCTTTGGGCAGCGTCTGTCTGTTTGTACAGCACCCAGTTAATGTCTCTGCCCAGTTACTGCTGCTTTCCCACCAGTCCCACAGGGAGGTGTAGTCCCGCACATAGACCCAGCTACGTCACCCAAAACCAACATCCAGGATCAGGCAGGGGATGAGGCAAATTCATGCGCTGGCTCCAAGTGTATCACAGTGTGAGAAGAACAAACAGACCAGAACCAGCAGGAGCCCAAATGACATAAGCCAGGAGGCATCTCCATTAAGCAGGGGGCCTGGTTGTGGCTCCAGCCCACAACTGAGGAAAATATTGATGTCAATGAGCCAGGTGCCCACCCTCCCCCCTACACACAACTAACCAACCTGGCTGGGCGCTGGGTAGAGCTTCCTATCTTCCCCCACATGCTGCCAGATGAGTCTGATCAGACACGTTCCTCTGAGTGACAGGTTTCAGAGTGGTAGCCGTGTTAGTCTGTATCAGCAAAAACAACGAGGAGTCCTTGTGGCACTTTAGAGACTAACACATTTATTTGGGCGTAAGCTTTCATGGGCTAAAACCCACTTCATCGGATGCATGCAGTGGGTTTTAGCCCATGAAAGCTTAGGCCCAAATAAATGTGTTAGTCTCTGAAGTGCCACAAGGACTCCTCGTTGTTTTTGTTCCTCTGAGTGTAACTTTCCAGGCAGCTCAGTTCTCCTGGCACAAATAACTTCTCTCTTCACCAGATGTGAGCCAGAAGGCTCCACGCTCATGGAGGCATCATCTGAGCTGCTCCGCATTGCTGAGGTGGATTCTCAAGAGATTTGCATCCACCCATTAACTCAATGGCCTGATGCATTGTAACCCCCCCTAACCTGCAAAGCACACCAGGGCTTTGAACTGCTGCATTTTTTCTACGTAGGTTCTCCTGCTGCCCTCAGCACTGTAGTATGCAAGTACCTGCCCATCATGCATTAAGCAACGTGACTAACATCTGTCCTGTCCTTGTTCTCTGACCCTCGCCCTAGGGAGAGAAGTATGTGAGGGCCGTGTTTTGTTTTGGAACTTTTGGGAGATTTTTCTCAGGACCACCCCCTTCTGCTGCCACATGAAGCCACTGCAGCTGGGACCCTTGAATTTGCCTCCCCTCCCCAGTTAAACTGGAGCGAGCTGGCAGCAGGATATTGTCATGGAATCCACTGTCCTCCGTGGCTTGCCACAGCCTGGATTTGCCAACACTCAGGCCCTGCTGCAACTGGCTTATCGCTGCTTCCAGGCCTTTCCTGAGAGGGCAAGTTGAACATGGCCTGGGAGCAGAGGGTGGGGTCCAGCTTTATTGTGGGCTGGGGGTTGCCTTTGCAGGCAGGGAGTTGAGCTGAGTGTCTGTAAGCATCTTCCCAATCTGTGAATCAGCCAGAAACCAACCAACTCACCTACCAGTTTTCAAACTGAAGATCAGACGATTTTCCCAACCAGGACTTCATACATTTTAGCCCTTTCTATGTGGGCCTGGGGTGGTGACTGCCTCCAGTTCCTAGATTTTTATGGCCAAAAGGGCCAATTCTGACCATCTAATCGGACCTCCCGCATAGCACAGGCCAGAAAATCTCTCCCAGCGATTCCTGCCTCCAGCCCAACAAGTGGCGATTGAAAGAGGACATCTTTTAAAGAAATCACTTTCCATTTGACAACTCCAAGTGATGGAGAATCCATCTAATCTCACATGGATCTGTTCCAACGACTAATTGTCCTTACTGGTAAAAATATGCATCTTAGTTCCAATTTGCACTTTGCACACCTCAGCCTCCAGCTCTCGGATCTTGTTATGCCTTTATCTGATAGGGGATAGGAAAAGGCAGATTAAGTTACCGGCGTAGGTTTGCTATCTGATACTCATTTGCCATTTACTGTTTTTTCACTCTTGGCAGTACAGTTTGCGATTAAAATGAAATCTCTTCACATACATATCAAATGTAAAGCGCCCACACAGGTTGTTACATGAATACTGACCTTTATTAGTTTCTCTTAGAATCCTGTACAAAGGAGTAATAAAAATAATATTCACACTTTGTCTTAGAAAGTTCCTCTAGATGAAACTTCTTTGTATACCCAAAAAAGAGAAGGAACTGGAAAAAAACAACTAAACTTCTATATACAATGCAAGACTGTTCCATACAAAACTGATTTAGCTCACTGAAATTGATCCCAAGAGTGTATTATTATGTGCACACACTTAAAAATATATCTCTATTTTATACATGATGGTAAATCAAAGCAATATATCTCACTGCTATTAAAGAAAATCATATGAGACTCTGACTGTGTGCTACTGCCAACAGTGACCCAGTTATTGTCCTCTCTTGGAGGACCAGTACCATTCTTTTAATATTTAAATTATGTTTAAATTGCTGCTGCTTTAAATAAATCCTCATTGACTGAACAGCCTTAGATCTCAGGGGGAAGGGGAAAGAAGGCTCCAATCTTGCACTTGGATCACGTGGAAGGGCTGTATAGTGTTGGGTTAAAGATCCAGCTGTTGGAATCCAATTGCAAGACTGGGGCCTTCACTCAACACCCCCAAGCTGTTGTTCTGTATCTTTCTGTGCTGTGTGGACAAGCACACAGTTCTCTCAACGGCTGAGGAAAAAGGCTTTGCAGTAACAACAGCAATAAGAGCACGCAACGCGAATGGTTTGAGTCAGGCCAATGTCTGTGAACTGGTCTATTGTTATAGATTTTAAAACCCTTGGTTTCTTTGTTTCTCTGTATTCGCAGAAGACAAAACTACACTGAAAAGCATTGGCTGTACTGAAATTCACACCTACTGCTATGCAGGGAGCCAGCACAAGGCCTGGAGGAAGATATTCCCAAGGGCCTAAGTGAGTTAGGCACCTAAATCCCATTGAAAGTCAAGGGGAGTCCAGGGTCTAGTTCACTTAGGCGCTTTACACAAGGGTTGAATTTCATTCTGGGATCGCCACCACACTTGGCTGCAGCCATATTTAAATGCTCAAGACTCTAAATTCCTCAAACTTCCCCACCCGGGGGTGCACGCAATCCCTCTTCTGCCCAAAGCTGGTTTTTATCCCCAAGGAGTTTCCTTGGTGTGTGTGTTGTTTTCTTCAACTCTCCACGGCCTGAGTGGCCCTTCATCATTTGTCTTCTGAGTCAGAGCTGCCGTGTCTGGCCCATTTCACACCCACCCCTGTTTTATAAAAGTGGTTTCAATGCAACGTTTCAGGAAATCTACAGTGTGGTTTGATCTGTAATGTTTGGACTAGCATTTCATTGCTTTGTCTCCCAGATCACCTACGAGTGCCTAGTGAAGGGGGCTGTTCCCACTCACTGCATACTCAGACTCCCCCTTTTGAGTGACATTTTAATGGAAGCTACCCCTGCACACAGGGGGTCGGGGGGAGTAGATCTCTGACACATAATTATGCATCGCTCTTTTTAAAAATTAACCGAAATCCCTGTTAAACTGTTAAGTCCTAGGGCCTGATTCCCCTCTCACTTGAGCCAAGTAAGGCCGCGATTCAGCAAAACACTTAAGCGTGTGCTTAAATTCCATTGACTTGTGTGTGTCTTAAGCACATGCTGAAGTGCTTCACGGAAACTGTTTTCACTGAAATGCTCATAAAAGAGAAATCATTAGACTGGTCTATGAATATCACGTCTTTGTAAACCCGTTGAGGAAAACTTACACTCCAGGTTTTAAACTGCCCCACTGAAGAGTTCATGATTTTATTTTTAGTAGCTTTACATTTCAGCGTTAATTTAACAGAACTGATTGGACATGACCAGTGTCACTGAACCCACAAACACTGCAGGTCCAGCCCCCAGCTGATGTACGTCTGCCGAGCTTCACCACTCCACAGCTGCCAAGGGTCTGGTGCCTAGCGTCAACTTACATTTCTGCTACAAACTCACTCCAGCTTTGCATAGTTTACATGCATGAGAGAGGGAGAGAAAAGGCAAAACCTACATGAATCCGGGAATAATGGTTTTAAGCAAATAAAGAAAAAAAAAGTCCTTTTTTATTTATGGTGGGTTTTTGCAAAACACAAGGATAAAGCGATTCCTGCCCCACTTCTCTGGGTCGAGATTCCCACCTTGAAAGTAATTATTTTGTCTCTCTAGTTAGGTTTCTATTTGTCCCCAAAGCTAGATTAACACCACACTACGTGTTCCGTCTCTTTCACTGGAGAAGGTTCAGCATCAGCACTATAATTCTGTGGCCTGCCAGACCTGAATTGGTCCAGCAGTGTGCCCCTTAGACTAGGCACATCATCCCAGCAGTCTGGGTGAGGGTACTATCACTGCCGAGTGGAAACCTGCCGTCTCCCCATTGCCATCTGAGGCACGTATCTACAATGTTCATTTCTGAATCCACTCAGACATTCTCATCAGGAAATAGCACCAGCCTGAAACTATTTTTTTCCAGAAGTCACAGGCTAGTAGCTTGAAAAGTGCACTAGTCCTGGGGTATACAGTACAGTAACCGAAGCAACAATCCACTCCCACCCATGTCAGGGATGGGGAAAAAAGGAAGAGCCTTGTATTAAATAAATTAACCTACATTTGACAGGCTCCTTTTTTCAAGAACCCAAAGCAGGTTTTCTCCTTCTCCACCATCTTCCTTTTCACTAATACTTACAGGAGCATTTCCGTCTTTGAAGCGCTTAAGAGACAATGGCTATATAAGCCTCACAACAGCCCTGTGAGGTAGGTTATTTCTCCCCCCTCAGCGGGGTACAAATGATGAAACTGAGGCAGAGAGGTTAAGCAGTTCACCCAAAGGCAGGTGAGGAGTCAATACAAGGGACGAGATTCAAATTGGGGAATTCCTGTCTCCCAGTCCTGTCTCGGACCATTAGATCAGGTCTAAACTCTATCGATAGTATCCACTGTACCCCCTGCTCAGTTCCAAAGCTACATCTGGCTAATGCAGGAACTAAAATGTCTTATTTCAAATGTTTACATTGTCAGAAAACTCCAGACAATCAAAACACTAACAAACAAAAATCACCTTCATGAATGTGCAAGGGTGTCATGAAAAATATAAACAAAGGCATAGTTCAACCAGCATATTGACTCTCTAGAAAATGCTGCAGTTACAAAGAGTGGACAGCTACCCCAGCCACTGGGGCCAGTTCTGCTGCTAACCCTTCGCTCTAGCTGGCAATTTTGAGGGGGGGGGGGGGGAGGAGAGATTCAGTGTTGCAACTATGCTTCATCCTCAGTTATCCAAACCTCCCTGTTATATTGGAAATCCTCCCCCCCCCCGTCTACTAATTACAAGTCTGTCATTTACCCCAAACAATGATTATCAAAACTTTATTCAACAATCTCTTTCCACACTGGGATTATTGCATTTCTATTGCAGATTATAATTAAATTAAAAATCCCACATTGTCCTCCAAACCAGCTCCTGACTCTGTGGATAACTAGCTCATCTGCTAACAGCCCCTTAGTAGAAACACACACACACGCTCTACTAGGTAGGGTTCCCTCCCACACAGCAATGCAGGGTGCAGAAAACATGATCGCTCCACTGAGCAGCCTGAAATAAGCTCATGATGCATAAACAAAATCAAAACGAGTCAGAAACAGAAGGTTGGTTAGCTCCCCTGGTGGTTTAACTGCCCCCTGCAATGCCCCATTGCCCCTCACTTTCTTGGGGTGCAAGTTCCACCCACTAACTGACATGTGCCGTACCCCACCTCTGGATCTAGCCACCAGTTCAGGGGCAGAACAGCAGGGCTTTGGATTTAAACAAGTACAACAAATCCGGATAATGAAGAAGGCAGCAAAGCAAGAGTTGCTTGTCTCCCTGCTGTGCCAAACACCTTCACTGTCCAGACCCGGACAGGCAGGTAACCTGCAGCCATGGTCTGGGGATGCGACAGACTGCACAGCTTGGATTTTCTATGCCACTGATAAGTTAAATGCTTCAGCGACTGGTCAGACCCGTTGCCCTCTTGCTGGCCAGCCACATTTGCCGTCTGCTCCTGCCTTCACTCAGCAACGCAGCACTATTGCAATATTCCTGTTCTACAGCTCCTTAAACCTCGCTTGTGGCCCATAGTCTGCTGCTGACAGGTCATCAGGCCCAACCAGAAGTCCGAGAATGGTTTTCTGCATGGGCTGTCACATGCTGAAATGTGCCCACCACTGATATTTGGCAAATGCCACTGATCTAGATTTAGACATTGGAGTCCTGGGCAAAGGGGGTGGAAGAACGAGACCCATGTAAACCAGTCATGGTCACCTCTCTGCCTGTACCAACACCCCATTACCGTACCTGACGACGCTCCATCCTTCACCTAGAGCAAACCTGTCCGTCATCAGCCTTTCCCCTCCCCGATCTCCAAGTCAAGTGACTCCGATCACTCTGATGGGCAGTGTTAACATTTTTAATCACACAACTAACAAGCAGCACCATCACACCTCTTAGCCCTATGTGGCAGTAGGATTAAGGGTAACACTGCAGGGCTGCATGTGATGGGGGATAATACCCCCCATCACACACGCTTTAAAATATAACTACTTCCACTTTAAACAAAGACATTGGTTATAGTTTAAATTAACAGAAACAATTTGGAATCCAATTCCTTCCCCCTGAATCATACAAACGGTACCTTGGAAAACAAGAAAGCTCCTTCCTGTTTTCTCATTAGAAAAATGATTCCCTCCCCAGCGGGAGGAGAGAGGTTTAAGAATAAAATCCACCTCCCAAAATTAAAGTGGCCAACTAGTTTTTCACACCTGGGAAATCTGGCCATGTCCCCCTTTAATTTCCCCACGTAGCCCTTCGCGAGTGCTTCTAACCTCAAAAAGGGCCAATGTATTTTAAAGTGCATTTGCCATCGTAATAACTACTAGCTCTTAAAGCTTTCTCCCCACCCCTGCTCTCTCCATTCAGTGTATTGGCCTCTGGATGGGAGTCTCCCCAGAAACTGACCTATTTGTACCTCAACGTCTCACTCTATCTGCATCTACTCATGATACTGGAGCACAAGAAGTCCACCCACCAGTCTCCTGGCTCCATGCTAAACTCTACTCAGGATTCTGCTACTCCAGAGTTTGCTTAGATTTATTGGGCACGAGGATCCTGCATGTGGCATACACGTCTATTGGATACTGCATTTAAAGAGCCGCTGTGAAATTATATCCCGGATTTGGCGGGGGGTGGTGGTGGTGGTGGTGAGGGAGGACTAAGACGACCGGGTTTCCCCTTCCACTTCAGCTCACTTCATCCAGGGGGCTCAGTACTTGTTGATCCCAAAGATCCGGACTCCGTGGAGCTGGGGCAGCTTGGGGATCAAGACGCTCATCAGGGAGATGGTGTTGATTATGAAGTGTATCCGGTCATATTTCGTATAGAAACTGGTGAGGAAATACCTAGGGGAGAGAGAAGCGGAAGTTGAATCACAGCTACCCACAGCTCCCATCACTCCCCGGGGCCAGTGACGATCTGAGGAGAGATACTGGTTGCAAGTGACTCACTGACTGCTTTTCCTGCTACAACCTATACTGCTCCCTTGGTGTACAAGTTACACCCACTAGCCGACCCCACCTCTGAATCTAGCCACCAGCTCAGGGCAGACACACAGGGCTTCAGATTAGCACAACACAGCAAAGCCGGGTAAGCCAAAATAAAAAACAAGGATCCGGTTTCTAGCAGCTAGTGAGCCCTGATTCCAAAGTGGATTTAGTCTCACCCTGGGGGATCTCAGTCTCTCTCTCTCCTTCTGGCCATGAGCTCTGGTCCCAAAAGACTTTAAACAGCTGAGCATCTTTGCAGCAGCAGCTTGTGTGTGCTTTTGGCAACAGACACAGCAGAGACTGGCCCTTCAGAAATATCTTCAGTCGATGGTGATGGAGCCTATCCGCCACTCCTCGCACTGTAGATGGCTGGAAAACAACATTTCCCAGCAGCGATTACATGAGTCAGAACTGCAATGTGGGTGGCAGGGGAGCCAGGGGACAGAGTCGGGTGAAAAGCAAGATGTTCCTCTTGGTGATGTGATTTTACAGTCTGATCCAGCCTCCAACACGTCACTCCACTGGGACTCTGCAGACTTGGGATGCTCTGAAGAATTTCTCCATCACGTGAAATGCAAACTACTTGTCTTCGCTTTCAGAGCCCTTCGTGGCCTCTCCACCCTACTTCTCTCTCATTCCCTCCTGAGAGGTTGACACCTGCTTCCAGTAAAGCCAGGGTGCCAGCCTGCACTGCCCACCTGTTAGATTGTCAGACGAGCACCTTCATGCTTCTCCCTTGCTGCCCCTTGTGCTGGGGAGGAATTCCCCATAAAAATCCACAAAGCCATTTCATTGCCCTCCGCCAAATCCCTTTTGCCATGAGGCCAAATCCAATGCCCCTGGTCTGGGGGCAAGATTCAGCGGTGGGGTCAGTTAGTGAGTGTAACTTGGCAACAGTCAGGCTGCTGGTGGGCTGAAACCACTGCCTGTCGTTCTGGTCCATACGGTCTCATAGAGCTTGCCCCAAACCATCCCTAGAGTAGCCACTTGTTGTCTCTTGTCTTATACGTAGACTGTTCACTTTTGGGGGTAGGAACAGTCTTTTTGTTCTGTATCTGTGCAGCACCCGGCACAATGGGGCCCTGGGTCTGTGACTGGAGCTCCTAGCTGCTACCATAATACACATAAATCATGTTAATGTTAATCAGTGCCAGCCCTGGTGACTTGTGAGATAGTGAACCTTCGAAGCACATCAGGGCTGCACTGGTCTCTTTCTAACAGTGCTTTTTATGGGCACTGACCCAGGCTGAATAGCACCTGGACACAAGCTCAGAGCAGATCCCCAAGACATCCACGCCATGAGTGGTGGACAGCAGCACAGACACAAGTGGGCTATGGATACTGTGAATAAATCTGGTATTGCAACATATGTGGATCTGCTTTCAGGCCCCCGAGCTAGCATTGTTTTTGGAGGCCAATGGAGGGCTTTAGCTTTAGCTTCGTTCGACAGGGTGCCGCTGTGACCAGCCCGCCCGCCCCCCTGAAGTACTCACAGCACGATGGGCGTGATGGTCAGGAACTTGCGCGATGCCGTGAACTGCACCCCATAGTCCATCTGCTCCCAGTGCGTGAGCAACCGGGCTTTCCCCTGGTCCGGAGTCTCAAAGGGCGTTCCTTTCACGGTGTGCAGGAAGATGTACATACTCTGTAGCAAACACGAGCAGAAGGTAAAACTTGGGCAGCTCTCTGAGACCAGGTGTCTGGAGAGATTCCTCTGACCTTAGCCACCCACAACTCATCACTAGGAAAACTCTTACACTTGCAAGCCACGGCTGTGCCACTAGGGGGAGCTATTGTCATCTGATGAGATTTTATTTTTTTTCGGCATTGGCAATTAGGGTCCCACGGGACGAGCTGGTTACAGCCTGGCTAGGAAGCCTGGGCTCTTGAGCTCAAGTTGTAGCAGCTCCTGCGTTTAGTGCTGGAGCTCCCTGGTGCCCTGGCCAAGATGCTGACGGTCACGTTAGGAAACGCAGCTCCCCGGCATCAGAGGAGAATACTGGAGTTTGATTCCGCTCCATGTGTATCGCATCTCTTCCTGTTGCACAGACTTAGGCGTGAACATGGCCATACAGTTGCACAGACCATACCAGGTGCTTCCTGCCTGTCAGAGAAAACCTTTGAAATGGAACAGCCACAGACTCGCTGCCCCCAGCCCTGTATTGCATTGGGGGTGTGTGTGTGTGTGCGGAGAGTGGCACCTCCCAGGCTCTATTCCCAGTTCTAACCTCAACTGACTTTCATCCCTACGTGCCACAGCTCCCTCAGTTGTGAAAGCGTGATAATATTGACCCCCACGCCACAGGGGGAGAAGGGTAACGCATTGCTGATGCAGTGAGCGTTGAGATTCTAAACGGTGCAGCTCTAGAGGACGGCAAAGGGGTAGCAATGTTATTTATGGGGAGGCAGGGCTGTCCAATGGACAGAACACTGCCCTGGGCACTCAGGAACCCTATGTCCAGCTCTGACCTTGGGCAAGTCAGCCTCTCTGTGCCTCAGCTTCCCCATCTGTAAAATGGGGATAATGACACCAACCTCCGGTGTAAAAGACTGTGAGCTCCACCGGTGAGACGCACTAGATAAAAGCGGAGTATTATTATAACCAGAACTTAAGCAATCTCCTGGAAAGATTCCAGGGACACACGCTCCAGGTACACACAAGCAACAAATCCTTGGAGAAGCCAACGACAAATCCGTTGGGATTGTTGTTTATGAACAATTGCTGCTGGTCCTTTAAAAGCCTCCTGCTCCTAAGACTCACCACTCTAAACTGGACAGAGGCCAAGGCACGGAGGTCTGATTGGCGGGAGAGCAGAGCGCACCAGTGCTGATCTCAGCCCTTTTGCTCTCAGTTCTAGCTGCCGATTGCTCGAGATCTGGATGGTTTTTATGGGATGGGGCGTCAGGAGCCCTGCGAGGGAATCAATTCCCAGTCTCTGATTAATCTCAAGCCGAGAATCACTTTAACCATAGGGCACAAATAGACCAGCTGCTGCGTCTGTGCTAACGTCTGGGTTTCTCTGACCTGGAAATCAGGGAGCAAGCTGCTGCATGGAGCCACGGTCTGATATCCGGGAGACAGACAGACTAAAACAAGAGGGGAGTCAGGAGCGGGAGAATATATCATCAGTGAAAAGCATGGGGCGTTTTTCTCAGCCCCAGAGGAAAAGGTTCCACTGAACGGCTGCGGTTGTGTCATGTCCCAGCAGAGGGCAGCAATGCGTCCACTCACCCGCATCCCCAAACCCATCCCCTGAAAAAAAAAAATAAACCCACACACTCCAGCCCACACCCATGAGGAAAACTGACTGTTTCATTTCTACGATACACCCGAGTCAATGACCCCCTGTTCACATTATGCACTTGCTCCAGATACAGTAACATTAGACTCAGACAAATGGCCAACAACCCCCACCCCATCCCTCAGCTTTGCACCCTGGTCCTCTCATCTGGGCCCAGCCCACTGTCAGCTCACAAGTCAGCAACTGATTTTTATAAACCCTCCAACTCCTGGTACAAAAACCCACCTTGCCCTTCCTGCCTCTCCCTTTGTTGCCAGTAACAGCAGAGGATTCCTGGGCAGCAGCAAAGTGAGCGTAACCAGCGGGCAGCAGGTCCCCCTCTGGGCCTGACCCTCGGAGGATGTGAGGCTGTCATAACTCCTAGTCCTTGATAGCTCAAGCTGTAGAGACTCACACTTCCAACCCAGGAGGTTGCTAGTTCAACCCTCTGAGTCAGCCAAGAGGACAGTCGTCACACAAGGCTCCCCCATCTTGCACTGCTCTCCATGTGTCCGGGCGCTAGACAGTAGTTTACACCCCACAGCCTATTCCCGTTCCTGCGGGGGCCTCTTCGGGTGGCTTTGGTGATGCGGACACTTGCCCGGATGGGAGCTGGTCTGAGACCCAAAATTAATTCACGTAGGGGACGGTGAACACCAAACGTTTGGTTGTTACCACCTGGGCTGGATTTGAACCCATGACCTCAAGGTGAAAGGGGGCTGAGCCTGGGATGTGGCTGCTCAGTCAGCCAGACTGCATCCCACACACTGGTGGGAACTCAGGACTTGGGGTTTGATTTCACTGTAGGATCCCTCGGCAGCTAACCACCCATGTGACCATCGAGCCCAGCTGGGGGTTCCCCCTGGGGCCAGTGAGCTGTGGCGCCCCCTTACCATGTTGTGGATGATGTTGGTGAGAGTCCAAACCACGGGGACACTGAAGAAGGGGATGCTGAGGAGGACCACATGCAGCAGGCCAATCCCCAGCACGTAGGAGAGCCAGATGCCCCGGCTGTTCATGACCCGGGTGTTGGGGTTCACCTCGCTGTGAGCCGTCCCCACGTTCATGCTGGCTCATGCGTCGGCTAGACAGTCCTGAACTGAACCAAGAAGAACAAGAGGCAGGTCAGCGCAGGGAGGCAACAGACTCTGCCACTCCACTAAGCTGCAAGCTAACAAGAACCCTCCATGCAAACGGCCCCATCCTTCCCTGTCCCTGCTACTCAGCCAAGACCAGCCCAGGATGGAGCATTGTCTTGCAGGTAAAGCAGCCGACAGGAAGTCAGGTCTACCGGATTCTGTCCCAGACACTGCCACCCTCTCACCACAAAACCTTGGGCAAGTCACTTCACTGCCCTCTGCCTCAGTGACCCTAGTTATAAAATAGAGACAACACTCTTGTGTGGGAACTAAATCCACTCACGTTTGAGATTCAGGTGGAAGGTGCCAGGAAATGAGAAACATCTCTACAATGGGGGTATTTCTAACGCTGGTGGTATATTCTGGTGGAACCGGGGCATATGGATGATTTCAGTCCTGTGACTCTGCCAGTGAAGAGCCAAATGGGTAATTTCACAGCATAACATGGACCAAATTTTCTTGTGCAGGACACATTAGGGCCCTGGTCCTGCAAAATCTGGAGCATAGTTACCCACATGCTTAAGGGTTTGCAGGATCCAGGCCATAACATGTCCTGAGAAAAACTTCAGCCCCGATTCTGCAAAGTCTTAGGTGTGTGTAACCTTACACCTAGGATTAGCCCCATTGACTGCCACAGGGTTCTGCGAGGCTGCAGGAGCCTCCCCACACTGATCCACATCACAGAACTGGGCTCTTGTTTCATAAGCAGGACCAAAAAAGATCTTTGGAGAGATCATTACAGCAACGGGAAGGAGAAATGAAGAGTTCCAGGAGAGAGATCCTTTGACACCGAGGTTAGAAAAGCCATGGTAAGGTAACGATGCAGGGAGGTTGCTTCACTAGGGGTGCCCTACAGGAGAAGGCTCCCACTCTGCTGTGGGGTAGAACGTGCAGACCCCAGGAGCAGCACAGAAAGAAGCATTTTCAAAGCAATTCTGATAAGGCCAGAAAGAGAGACTCACTGCTGGAATGGAGAAGATTGTCAATGACTGGACTGAGGTTGGATTTGGTGCCATACCCAGCAATCCATGAAACCTCAGGGCCTAGGGCTGCTGCATGCATTCGCCTGCATAATGAAACAGGTTCAACAGCAAACACCAGTCCCAGGATTCAATACAGAGCACGCTGACTGAACTTTCAGCTAATGATGAAACACACAAGGAGCGGGAGCAGAATGGAGCTGGACAGGCCTATCTGTGGCTAAGGTTCGAACGCTGCCACCACCCTACAGGGATAAAAACCACCATCACAAAGCGAACAGGAAATGAGGGTTTCCACTCACCCCTCAGCAGATCTCAACCGGCTGCTGTCCAGCCGGTACACTCCAAAGCTGGCTCCAATTGGAAGGCAGATTGTGATGTCATTCACTCAGAGCAAGATCACAACCAAAAAAACCTCAGATTCCAGAGACAGCCAAAAGGTGCTAATGATGGGCCCAATCCTGTGAGCATATTGCTCCCAGACGGTGGGATAACTCGTGGTACTGAGCAATGAAGTCACTGCTAAGCCAAGTCAGCAAGTATTTTCAGGCTCAGCTAGAGTGACCAGATATCCCGATTTTATAGGGACAGTACTGATATTTGGAACTTTTTCTTATACAGATGCCTATTACTCCCACCCCCCTGATTTCTTACACTTGCTGTCTGGTCACCCTAGCTCAGACCTTTGTGGGACTGAAACAAGGAACTTCATCGCCATCTGTCTCCCAAAGGTGCCGAGCACCAAGGTGCCACCATACCTTCAACAGAGCAACAGGAGTATTCTCCATCACTTGACGTCTTGCTAAGAGACTCGCTCCAGTTCCTCCCTCACCACTTCCTGGGCTCAATGCAGGAATCACTGGGAGGGAGTTTTGGGGCTGTGAGATACAGGAGGTCAGACTTGACTATTAGAAATGTTCCTTCTGGACTTGAAACCTGTATGTGCCTAACCGTTTGGCACATAAAACCCTGATCCTGCTGTCACATGCATTATGTTGAGGGTGTATGCAAGGCCAGGGTCAACATTTGGAAATTTTTGCCCATCCTTGCCCAACATTAATTCCTATGTATTTGTCAGCCTTTATTCCAAAGCTGCTTTGTTGCTTTTTGGCCGATTTTTCAAAAAGTTGACCAATTTTTGCATTAGTAGGAGCACACTTCCTTTTCATTCAAAGTTTAGTAGCTACCAAAGTACAAATGCAGAAATAAAAAGGCCTAGACAAGCCAGGCTCTCCCTTCCTGGTAATTTTCTAGTGTTGTTGCTGGTTTAGCTCCCATTGCTGGGAGACGGATTTGCTGCTCTTCTCCAGCTCACAGGCCTGCGTTGTGTGGGAGGCGGGTTGCAGCCAGACCTATTGTGTTCTTTACACAGAAGCCAGATGTTCCAAGTTTCCTTACATAGAATCCTGGGCCTGGGTTATTTTGCAGGCTGGAGCTCTATCTTTTTTATTGTCCTTGACAAGGGTTATTACACAGAACAAACACTATCCCTGCTGCAACTGCTGTTGGCCGTGCTGTGTCCTTCAGGCCTCCTGTAGTCACCCACGGGTGTGCCTCAGCATCAGCCATCCAGCGCAAGGCAGGGCTGCTATCCGACAAACACACCAATTTCTCTGCCACTCAGAAACCTTGACACCACAGGCCGACAAGTGGTTATGGTTGGCGAGGATTTTGGACCTGCTCTGTTGCCTGCAGACAGGACACCCCAAATGTGCTAATCGCTCAGCTTCTCATCACCACTTCCCTGGATCACAGAACATCCCCCGCCCCCGGGGTCTCCTTTTTGTGCCTCAGTTTCCCATTTGTAAAATGTGGATTAGACTTGGTTGAAATCTACTTCATGTGGACACCGTGGGGATCACGGCACACTGAGGATGTCAGCCACTGAGTAATATCAGAAAAATTTTGCAGGTTCCATTTCAAATTCTCTCTTCTCCTGCCTAAAATACCCCCCATCACCCCTTTCATCCAGGACACCCCTCTGTTCCTGGATCGATATTTACATCTCTTGTACAGAAGTCATCCCTAAACCCAGTCTCTCCACGGCTTACAGGTCTCTGCATCTTATTTCCAAGCTTACTTAAGAGCTACTAACCAATCAAAGCCAACGGCCCCTCCCCCCACAACACAGCTTATTAGCTTTACAGATGGGATTTGTTCAGGAAAAACAAAGCACATGAGAAAAGCGATGGAAACTTTGCTCCAACCTCCTCCCCCTTCTGAAGCAGATGACTGCTAAGCTCCAATTTCTCAGGACACCCAGCTGTGCCAATGCTCCTCAATCCCGACCCGCAGCCCCCTGCTCTCCCAGCACATGCTTTGCGATGCCACTCAACCTCAACTCACAACCCCCCCCCCCCCCCCACCCTATCCCAGCCCTGCCCCCTGCCGATGCCAGCTCTGGCCTGCCACACACATCCCTTCAGACTCAAGCTGCAACCAGAGGACAGGACCCAGGTCTCCTGACTCCATCCCACGCTCTATCAACGGGGCTACGCGGCCTCTCCTTCACCTCAGACCCACACTAGATACGAACCCAGCTCACAGAGGCTAGTGCGTGAATTCTCAACACCCAACCTTGTCACACACACACAGAACAACCCGCTGACAGCCTGACTCAGCCCAGGTCAGCGGTAGGCACGTTGGGCTGACTAGCGCCTTGTGGGGCTCGGCTCAGGATGGGCGGTAACGGGCCGCCGTGCTGGGAGGCCTAGCACTGAATGGGCCACCGAGACTGAACTAGTCTTTTATTCGTTTGGAACGTCCCTCAGGCTGGGCCGGTGGGGGAAGGAAGCTGTCTGTTCTGCGGCTACAGATCTCCGTCTGCAGGGCTGTCAGGCCAGCGTCTGAACTGGCAACATCGCCCCAGTTCAACAGGGAAGAAACCAAACAGCATCGTCGGTTTTCTCCTTGTCTTGTCAGCCACCGACCCTGCGGGGACCTTGCTGACCCAGGGAACTAGCAAGGACACAGCCAGCTCCCTGGCTTCACACTCTCAAAGCCCTGCACTCAAGGGGCGGGACAGAGATTGGGAGCCAGCCCGATTCCTGTCCTGTGGCCGCTCAACTGAGAATGATGCTGACTGGTGTCTCTTGTGACGGGAGAGCAAGTCAATTCTCAGTTTTGTGCTGGGCCAGAGCAAACTGACAAAGGTCACCACTGATGTCACTTGTCCCGCAGAGTCATAGACGGGAAGTGTCACAAGAAAGTGAATCACTGCATGGCTGAGCGAGCAGGGCACTGGAGCGGGAGCCAGGACGTCTGGATTCTGCTGCCAGATCTGCTACCGACCTGCTGTGGGATCCCCAGCAAGTCACTTCCTCTCTCTGTACCTCTGCGCTCCTGTGCCGCCCCGCCCCCCCACACTTTGTATGTCTAGTCAGACTGCAAATTCTTCAGAGCAGGGACTGTCCCTCTCTTCATGTTAATACAGCACCCAGTGCAACGGGGCTCCAATCTCGACGGGGGGGGGGGGGGGGGGGAGGGGAGGACCCTGTGCAAAGGGGCCCCCCAAACTCAATGGAGGCGTCTAGCTGCTACCACAATACAAATAATAACGTACGAGAGGCTGAAATCTCCACCAAAGTGGAAGAAGTCACAATTTCCTGGGAAAATGAATATTTTAAACCCTTCTCCACAGGAACATTATTTGCTTCTTTGCTCACCAGAGGACCATCAGAGGTAGGATTACACGGCGAAGATTTCAGGGATGATGGAGACACTGCTATATTGAAAGGAAACCAACATCTGAAGGAGCCAAGTGATGTGTTGAGAAATTGCCATTAACCTATCTCTGGGACCCAGGTTCTGATCCTGGTTTAAGGCACAGATGGAACGAACTTGGCAGATCTCAGCCCAGTCCCAAACGGCCATTTCTCCCTGCCACTAAACCATCACACAGGGCAGCCTGCGCAGGGGGAGGCTGGGATTAGAATGGGGGGGACGGGCTGCAGTCAGGAATGAGATGCAAAGGCAGAGCT